TTGAATCAATACAACATTTGGAGAACATTCACTACAATCATTACAAATTTCCAAATTGGCTTTTTCGCTTCTTTAATAAATTCATGGAGTTCTTCAAATCCAGAAGTTCCATCCAACAGCCTATAACTCAAGAATATTCTATAACACAGGATATCTACACGTCGAGCTTCCTTAGCCATAGTTTAACTGCTTCTTCCAGTCTCTGCCAAAATATACTCGTGAGCTACAAAACCAGAATAAATGAGGTCCAAATTAATGGTAACTGTAACCAAGTCAGATAGCATGGAACTCTATGCAAGTCATCTGGCTACCTAAAAGAAATAATACTAGAATCCATGTCAAGTAAGATTTTACATAAACGCCGAAAAAGTTTATTGTATAAAAAATGTTACTGCAGCAATTAACAAAAGTCACAGAACAAGTGGAAAGACCACCATTATAAACGATGAGAGAAAAAACAAAACAAAATTAGTTAGGAAACCACATAATATATCTGAAAACAAATATCCATGAAAAATGTTAAACTAGTCAATCCCTTTTGAGATCCTTGAAGGAAAGTAGTGCATATTAACTAGCTGTTAAAGAACACGATGAACAGAAAACATGCATTTCAGAACTTTTCCCATGTTGCAGAGAAGGCTAAAGCACCTAAGTCATATTGGCAAGCACCTGAGTCATATTGGGAGCAAAAACCATAGCACTTAAGCACATTATCAGTAGCATTTTAATGACAGTAAACAGAAAAAAAAAAAGATTAATGTCAAATGGCAAGCACTTAAGTACATTATCAGTAGCATTTTACAATCGCAAAGAAGTAGGACATCTCCAAGTAAAGGATTACAGAAAAACCATAAAAAGAAATCAATTTTATGCAAGTTATTCACCTGAAATATTTCCACAAAACTCTTCTGTTTGCCACCCAGCCCTAATCCAGGAAAACCAATCAATCCATCAACACCCCATTCTTCAGAACCCTGCACGTTATCCATATTGGGAGCAAAAACCATAGCAATGTTGCGTGCATTCATCTTATTTAGATGTTCATGTTGCACAACATCGGCCATCAAGTTGATTGCCCAGTCAAGCAATGCAGCGTCAGTTGGTGGAATCATATTTACAAGCTGGGAGCACTCTTCTTCTGTGTTGCAATGCATAACCTGCTATGGGGTCAGAGAATCAAGAACTCCGGTTGGAAGTCCTCTAAACCATGCCTGAAAATGGTCATCAGTGATCACGGTTACAATATCAT